TGCGAGTGCTTGCTTATAGAAAACCGCTGGTGCCTTCTCCTGTCCTGGTTCTTGACTCTTAGTACAAGAGGGAATTCCAGTTGTAACCGAGTTTCCTGCTCAAGGAAGCTTTTAACACAGTAATAATAATGGCTTCAAAATATGTGACTTTTCCATTTAAAGTAATACAGTATCTTTGGCTTCCTCCGCTTTGGAGGCAGGAATGAATCCCAGTTGCTGGGGGATGCACTGCAAGAGGATTTTACTGTGCTCGTTTATTTATGTATTAATCAAATGTATATGGCCTGCCCGCAGGCTTGTGGTATACCATAAACATCTGACTGGGAGTCCAAATGCTTTACTTGGTGTGGCCTTTGAACTGGTCCAGTGGGAATCTTCTATTCTGACCTATAGCACAAAAAACAAAACAAAATCAGTGTCCCAGCCCCATAATACAACTAATTCTCCTGGAGATACCTTGGACTATTGGAGGAAATTCCTCAGCAGCTAACTTGTAATGTGCATGGTTGAGCCATTAACCAAAGTGGAGAGATAAGCCAGACCTGTTGGTTGAGGTGTGGGATGGCTGCCAGTATTGCAAAGTATTTAGGAACTGTTTCAGGTGTATATTAGTAATACAAACTTTTTGGCATTATTTCCTGTTCTACTTTTACAGCCCAGCTAATTAAAAGCTTATCTGCATGCTTATTTAACACCATAGGAAGCTCTTTTGGTGTCCTAACAATTGTTTGACACTGGTCCATGTGGATCATCAAAGAGCAGAAAATATCTCTGAGCATCCACAGCTTAATAAAGTTACTACTATAAGCCACAAGAAAGGAGTAAAGCTAGATGTGAACAGTTCCTTGGTTCATTTCTGTGCTTGACTTGTTCTTCTTGGCCCTAAACATAAAGTATTAAAATTTTGCAGAAGGATATACATATCCTTCATAGAAATGAGATATTATTTCTGTTATTAGCTCAGGAGTATTACTAGTTTAACTATGTATAATACTGTATTTCTAAATTCTCAATTTCAATTGTTTTGGTTTCTAATAAACAGAAATTGTATCTTATATGCAAAAAGAATAAAAGAATTGCCTCTAACTTGAGAAGACTACACAGAGACATATATAAGGAAGATACCCAATGTTTAGTATTTTTTAATTGCAAAGCAGCTTCAACACAATGCTGTGAGAAGCACATGCACAGAAGTGCATGCACCTTTTGACACTCACACTACACCATTCTGAACCATGTTTAATTGAAAGGCTGTTGCGTCACCTGAAATGTTCTTTTAAGTGTCATGCAATTTTCTCTTGGTGGAAATGGGTAAAGTTAACTTTCTAGAATTAAAAAAATGGAAGGAGGAGTTAAAAGAAAAATCACTAGAACCAAATGGGCCTATGAATAGGTTCCTGCTTTTCTTCACCTTTGTACCTTATTGCAGCAGATAATAACGTTAAGCAATAGGTTCTGCAAATATGGAAGGAAATGTACTACTATTGTATTGATGAATCTAGTATGAATTAAACCAACTTGAGTGTCACTTGATCAAATCAAACAAACCGTAGCATGTGGATTTACAGGTCTAATTAAAATGTCAGCAGCTTAAATAATTAATTGTACTTCACACAACTTTTCAAAAAACAGATATAATTATTTTCTGAAAGTGAGATTATATCATTTATTAATCCTAATAGCAAAAAAAAATTAAAAAAATGAGGCCACTGAAAACTACTGGGAAGGAAGGAACTTACAGAAGTTCCTTGAGGATTTCCAGAAAATGCTTCTGAGGTTACTGATTAACCTAATTATCTGAGTTCTTTCACAATTCCTTATGTCATTCAGAAGTATAGTAATGACCTTAATGCACAGTTGGAAAGATAAAACAGCAGGAGGCAATGAATATAAGAGTTGACTAACATATGATTAACTTTAACCTACCTGTGCAAGCCTGTCCATATATTCAAATAATGAGGCTCCAGATGCCTCATCATTGGCTTCACTGGAAGAAATGACTATCAGGGACTTTCCTCTTATAATATCCTGATGTGCTATGTCCATTCAACATCTTCCTTAATATCCTTATTCTTTAAAGCAGCTTTCTTCAACCTGGCAGATATTTTAAACTACTGCCATGAAAGCTTCATTGGGCTCTAAGTACAGATCACTTTGGGAACATATGCTAAATTTGATGCTAAATTTCTGAATTATCTTTGCATGATGATTTTTTAAAAATATTTTTGCATTGTCTTTTGAAATGTGTGGGCATTGATGGAAATGTAGAGGATGACTTTCATAAAAGCAACGAGTGTTTGATTATTCATCATTCCGTAAATTCCAGAATGACATATTAGAAGCTTTCAGAGGAAAAGTGTTGCAATATTTTTGCTAGCAAAAGTAGCTGATAGACCACAGTCTACAAAACAATTAGACTGAGTCTAAAAATCAGTTCTTTCAATGAGATTTATTTTCACAAGATGGAATGAGATTTATTTCCACAATATTCCACAATATATATATATATATTGCATTATATGGTACAATATTCCACAATATATATATATATATTGCATTATATGGTACATAACTGAATAACAAAAATGCAGCCTTATAAACTGCATTAGGATAAACTTTTCAGAGATTGAAACGTTTATTGCAGTAGTTGACTGTAATTCACAAGCTGAAGTACAGGTAGAGAAGCCATCCCAAGCCTGGATTGCAGTCCCAAGGGCAAATGATCAGCAGGTATTGCTACTGCAGTCTATTCATTTAAAGGTAGCTTGATGGAGAACATAAGAAAGTTCCATCAAAATGTGTGAACTTGAGGTGGTGCAGTGGATAGGGCTATGAGATTGTACCTTACAACCTTTCAGTAGATTCACTGAAAGTATTATTATCCTAAGTAATGTGCGTGGCACTCATGGAATTACCTGAGGGCTGAAACTAAATGCTCCCAGGTTTAAGTAGCATAAATAGCACAAGGGTTTGCTTTGTGCTCCTATTTTCATGCATGCCAGATCTAAGCTTTGTCTTTTCCAATGAACATTCTCAGGACTGATAACATCTTTGAGATATATCTTAGTAAATATTCATTCATCACAAACATAACTAGAAGGCCCATCACGCCAGTATGTGTAGTTTTCAACAAAGGAAAGTGCCTTTGGCAAGGGTTTGTTTCAATTGAAGCCAGAATAAATGAATGATCTTACAAGAGTGAGTTTTCTATCTCTATATCAGTGTTATATTCAATTGGATACTGTTCAGATTTTAAACATTTTACCTGTACTGTACTAATAGGATTCCTCATTTCATTGTCATGTGTCTTTTCAAGTTTATTTGTTAATAGCCACCTCAGGTGGGGCTGGGCAAGTAAGCAGGTTGGGCCTGATTACTACTTGGACAAGAGATCTCCAAGGAATAAACTAAACTGGGAAGTCGAAACAAAAATCCAGAAGAAGGTTGTAGTAAGTATTCCATGCTATTTCCAAGGAAACTACATAGATGCATCCATGATGTCACCAGCAGTTCACCATAACTCAACAAAAGTTTGATTTAGAACTCCCACCACACAATCTCCTTTTTAACATTCTCCTCTTCTTCCACACAATACAAATACTGGCCTTCAGTGAGCTGATTTCACTTCATCTCAATATATATTTAATTTCCTTGAAGCTTTTTCATAGTCAAGAAATCAAGAACTTTGCATCATAAGCAGAACCATAAAGATGCAGTATGTACAAATAAATGCTACGGTTCTTTGTTCTTTAAATAAAGACTAACATAACTGTAAAAAGAAATGTTGTGATGTCCATCACAGTTTACCACAAGCATATAATATATTCTTAAAGCAACACAGATGTTAATTTTGCAGGCCTATTTCTGGCAGTGACAGTTGTTATTAGTCTACTAATGTAGCAGTGCAACATCACTAGGTTTCTAATGCTGGCACAGTGGGTCTTTTGCATTTATTTTTCACTTTTAGTGCAACTGTACAGACAATTTTTGAAAAGACTGAATGAATGACCAGAGGATCAGTACTGATAGCTGATCCTACTGAAAACATGATGCAAATTCAAAGATCGTGTGTGTGTGTGTGTGTGTGTGTGTGTGTGTGTGTGTATTTCAGCATAGGCTGATCTCTTCCCCCACCCCACTCCTTCCTATCTACCATATGCTACAAGGTTTATGAAATTGCTTCTC